ATGAAAGGCCTTCCGGCTAGAAATAACCGGATGTTTGGCAATTCCTTTATAATAGCTTGCAGAGCGCTAAGAAGGTTAGGCCGATGCTCCGGGAGAGATTCGTCCAAGCCGTCGATACATATAACCACCCGTTGCCGTCGCGCAATTGCCGTCTTCAGCATCTTGACAAGTTCTAGAACTCGCGGACCTACACCACCAAAATGCTCCTTCGCATCTTCGAAAGCGCTTCGTATATCCTTGGGGATGCTTCCTCTCCCCACCAACTGCTTGAGGATGGCTCCCAATATCTTCGATACAGTCTGCTCATTTCTGTCCAGGTAGTCACAAAACAGTCCGGCAACTGTGATACTAGGCCCACTTCCAGAAAAACGATCGATTACTAGGGAGCTAAAATTGTAAGTAGTAATTAGCGATGTGAGCTGTCCCCCGGTATTTCTCGTGCTACCTGAGATATGTCTTCCCCACGCCCGGATCTCCATGGCAAAATAGCACAGAGTGAGCAGATCCATCTTCTCCTGCATCCCATCTCTGAAACTCGGCCGTTTGAAATATCCACTGCCCCACATCGTCAAGACGGTTCTCTCTTAAATGATTGTGTCTCTTCTGAGGCTCGAGCGATGACAGCCAGCGTAGGACCTCAGGCCTGTCATCTGTTACGGTCGTGTTGACGGTATTATTGAAACTGTTGACATTGTTGAAACTTCTGACGTTGAAGGAGTTTGCATTCCCCGTATACCGGTACCGGTAGTCCATAGTGCCTGGAGTCTGGTGGATAGAGTACCAGTGCGGAGAGACGATGCACAAGTGGATCCGAGTCGGTCAGCAGCTTCCCACAAGAAAATAATGCCGCACAGCAAGGCTATGCGAGATGTCTCACACGGGCATCGCATCCAATCGCTTCACGTCAAAAATCCCCCACCTCTTTTCCCCAGTGAGCCCCCCCAAACTCACTCAGAAACCATTAGGGAAGATGCTGTTAAAATGGCCACTCTTTCTCGCGCGCCTGATCCAGCTGCTTGTCAAGCCACGCTCGCTTGCAGAGTAAATGTTACATGTAAACGAAAGTTTCGAGGCGGATAAAGTACTCGAGTACGAGTACAGTACCAGTACTCAATAACCGTTGTTAGCGAAGTTAATTATGCCTTAACCGAGGCCATTTATCATTCCGTTGGACCACAGTACAAGTAGGACATCCCAATCTCCGATAATCCTGGCCGCAAAATCTTCACATCCCCGCTTCATCCCTATCCAACAAACCGGTACCGTGGAAACCCGAACAACCGGACGAAGTGCAATGTCATCGGAGTCGCCTCCTCTGGCAAGGTCTGGTGTGTTTTTTTTTCATGTTCTTTTCTGCGTCTCTCCTAGAGGGGCTAAGCAGCTCATCTTTTGCTATATATTTTTCCCCTTCCCCAGAGTGGAGAATTTCCCATGACAGCACATAGCGCAGTCCGAACACCGGTATCAAGTATTCCTATCCCTACAACTTATCCCACTTCCAACTCTTTAGCCAGAACCTTTTCTATGAGTAAACACCTGAATGCACTTGTACAAATGGGTTACCGCACAGCTTAGAAACCCCCTCCCCCCGATAGCAGCCTTTCAACTCTCTACGGTAACTATATGGGCACAACTACCGCTATTGGCAAAAAGGAGCACCCCACATAATAACCCCCCTCGCCGCCCAGGTCTTCCTGGCCAGGTAATTCAAAGCCCAGTGAGAATCCCCCCGGGTGGTATTCTCTTATCGCACGGTACCTAAGCACCGGCGCTCGAGTACAGTACTAGTACAGTGTTGCAAAAATTCTGTAAAGTCGGACAACCGGTATCATGGCACGGTCTCATAATCTAATACGAATCACCCTTCAAAGCGGATTAACACTTTGCTAAACCGTGCCAAACACCGTACGAGTAAGGGGGCGCCCAGATACTCTTGCAGCCAAGCCACAACACCGGTTCGCCATCGGTACGATACCACCACCACAACCCTCCTCCCCGCCAACTTCCAACCAGCGTGCCCATCATCCTCAACGCCTTAGACCTCCCCTCCCCCCCAAAAAAAACCATGCCAAGCCCAACTTATCGATTCCACGGAGGTGCTACGAGTATTCCGTTTGTTACCGGAACGCTCGAGATTCAGAGAGAGGCACGAACTCCACTCCGCCTAATATCTACTGTCGATATCTCCCCCGGGTCCTCGGGCAACGGTTTCAATGAATAGTACCGGTAATTCAGTAACTAGCTCGCAGTGGGGTGCCCGAGGCTATTATTACCAGCTGACTCTCCCCAGTGTAGTTCCTAAAACCCCACATTGTCTGAGGACGTCTTGGGGATCGATTACCAAGGGGAGATGTGCCAAATATCTTTTTGCTATCGTATGATACCCCCGCTGCTTTTTAGCCGTCCCTTCATCCACAGCTCTGCTCTTCTTATTACCCCTACAGTGCTCACTTATTTCCGTCCACAGTACCGTACATACCGTTGTCTAACATCTCCATACTTAGTTGCACCGGTATTCTATCTACCTACTTGTACATCATACAAGTAACATCAAATTGCGCCCCTCCCGGCCGATTTCCTTGCCCGGTACCGTAAGTATTGACTCGACATAACTTACCGGCAACTCAATCCACTACCTCCCAACAACACCTGAAGCCGTAGGGTAGCGGGGGGTGATACCCCCCCCCCCGAACAATTAGCACAGCACAACAAAAATTCACAGCCATAACAGTCCAATGCTTCGGTACAGTAGGCTCAACATATCCACCATACTCGCACCGCCAAGTTAAAGCCAGGGACCTAATATAGCAATCCCCCTGCAAGTGAGAAGCTGGCGACAAAATTGATAAGCAGTATGAGGGTTTTCCACTGAAACCAGCGAAGTTCACAAACCTACTAACTACTCATTCAGCGAAGCAATCTGAACAAATTTTTGCCTATATGTGAAGAAAAGAAAAACCTAGATTTCAATTCCCGACTCTTTAGCGCTCCGTATCTGAAAAAAAAAAGAAAAGGGGGGGGAGCAAGACCAGCCAGTGTAAGAAATTGTGAAGAGAGCGATAGTCGAGTCAGTGCATTAGCCTTGGCGCATTTCCCGAAGATTTCGTACCGGGAACGAATGGACTAGCTCAGCGTTCGACAATCTGCGGGTTCCATCATCACTTTTCCAAACTTTTACAACCCCAGAACGTATCGAACAAAAAGCGTGAAGTACCGTAGCACGATTTATGTCGCCACACAGCATTCTACCCACCTTCTTTCGCCGCCAGCCTCGTACAATCCAGAGCATCGCGCTTCAGCTTCACCGCCCGCGTACCGTTCAGCAGCCACCACGCGCAGGGGAGGAAGGAATGGGCTTACACACTCCCCGCCATGATACCATTAAAGTTACTAGCAACATAGAACCAGCTATTACAGTAGAAGCCGTACATCTCTAATTGAGTAAAACCATTGAAGTCGAAATCCTCATCGATTATAGGGGTCAACAGATAGATATTAATATCACCACCCCCGGAATCAACAAGCATAACCTCACCCGCATCTCTTCTTACCTTCCGTTTTAGACCAAGCATTTAGTCTACAGAATCCTCAGAGAAGAGGAGGCGAAGAAAGAAAGAAAAAGAAAAAAAAGCGTAAAGCGAGGTATAATAGCCTAAATCCTTTAACAACCATTATAAGTGACTTCCCAACCTGAAGCGGTCCCCATCAAGAGGATAACAAATCCCCCCCCGGCACATTCTCAGGATAAGTTAAGTTACAGGACGTATGACAAGAGCCACGAAAAAAAAACCCAATTCAATCCCACAATGCCAGTAATTATGGTAATACGATGATAACGTTTCCTTACCCAGCACCTCAACAAAAAAAAAAAATACCGGTACGATACTGCGACCCCCATGACAAAGACAATTGTAATTTTGAAAGCAAAATCATACTCGTAGATGACTACTCGTACAGTACGAGCTCAGTACAGTACCGGTACTGGTGCCCCTAGTCTACGGTAGTCTAGACGGTCTAGTCCACAGAGAGATGGACCTTCATCATCGTCCATCCACCCTCCATCGGCTACAAGCGGCTATAAGCGCATAGGCACGCACCCACGGTAAAACCAACCCCGCCCTACTCAGCAAAAACCGGACCAGCACTACTCGTACCATATCAGACTACGGTACGGTAAGGCAAGCCATCCCAATCACCTCTCTGGGTCTGCCGGTAGACTACTCGTATAGTACCGGTACTTTCACCCGTAAAACTGTGGCGATTTGGGGTTTCTACGATTCTTGGCTTCCCGCTGGCTCGACTGTCCCTAACTTGGCTCCAATCCGACTTGTTCACGAAAGTGGTATTTGTACTCGGGTATGGTATTGTATTGGTTATGGCCTGGAGTCTGCACGTCTGCGAGCTATTGTTTCCACTGATACCGGTACTCGAGTAAAAAAAAATGGTCGCTCACTTAAGTTAACCTCTGTCCAGCTCGAACAAAGTGACAAGGGGTGGCACAAGATTTCTGCTCTTCCCGGCCCCGGAGATATGCTTGAGCAGGCATCATGACGGCGGGAAAAAACAAGTTACCCGACCTATCCATGGAGCTCTACCAAACGTTACGCTGGGTAACGTTATTTTTCTACTCGAATCATAGTTCTCACAATACACGCTCGGTTGCATGAAAATCGTCGCGCCCATCCCGAGAAACCGCCGCGAGCCCAAAACACACAAAAGCTACAAATAAAAGTACTCGTACAACACTTGAAACCATCGATGGGTTTTTTTCTTCCCCTTTTTTTCCCCTGCTTCGCACATTACCAACCACGAATCAGAGCCGAGGCCGATACATCATGCTGTGTGCTCAGGTATTAATCAAACATCAGAAAACGAGTGACTTCTTGTGATATGCTCTACGATCGGATTACCCCAGTTCCATTGTGCTGCATTTAAATTTTTCTACTAGCTCTCCCCCGCTCTTCCCATTTTGGCATAAACCAATCAAGCAAGACATCATACTACAAGATCGCCATCCAAATTCCCATATCCTCATGCCCATCCACAAGTCGGCATACGCATGGATCCTCCTCTTCCCAAGCCAAACCAACGCACCAACCAAAAGTGAACGCAATGACAAGCCTGGCTATGTGTTCACTAACCTAGCCGACAAACATTGACAGCTTACCTCTTAGGCTCATTCCTCGACAACCATGCCAAAACTCCAGAAATGTTCCTTCCAGCTTCAGCCCGTTCCTCTGGATCCAACAAATCCCAGAACCTCGTCTTCTGAACCTTGAGCTTATCCCAATCGTTTCCCTCCTCTGTTCGGAAGTACTCGTGATTTAGGTTGGGCATCTGGCCAGTTTCAAGGAAGCGCAGATACGGCTGGGTTACTGAGATGCGGGATATGGAGACGTGGTGATGGAGGGAGGTTAAGAGGAAGATCTATAATATCGATTGAGCTCACTGATGCAAGGAGGCAATTGGGGGTTATACATCATCCCGCCATTTATCATCCTTCCCGACAGCTCTAAACCGGACTTTCTTTTCTGTCTTGCCCTCCGGCTTGCCTTCTTTTGGCCCTTTCCTTCTATCCTGCGCGAGACTGAGCGCGGCAGCCACCTCGCGGGTAATGCCGATTACGTCCCCGACTTCTTCCTCGCCGTCAACATCCATGCTATCGTTCGACAATTTCTTCAAAAACTCGGATTCGTGCCGAACCTGCACGCCCATGACGGGTCCTTCAACAAGGCCGGAGCGAGCCTCGGCAGGAAGGGCGGGGGTAAGATAGATGTAGTTGGTCATGTGCACAAGAAATCGGGATCTCTGAAGTGCGACTCTCGGGAGTGCTCGGGGTGGACTTTGATTTCCCCAGGTATTTAGCAAGCGTAACCCGATTATTCGTACTTCATATTGTGGTTAAGAGGGTTTAATACTAGATCCGCACTCCGTACCCCCAGCAGATGGGCTCAATAAAGTTTTTCACGATTTCTTCCCGGAATTTCTCGGGCATGGCAAACCTCCCATCATCCTCATCCTCGCCCGTTTTCGGGGGCTCGCTAGGAGGATTTGCAGCGGTTGCAGACCGTTCCTCCGGTTTGCCCCTCTTTTCTACCCCGCCCTCCACAACTTCTTCCGCCTTCCTCTTACCGCCCTTGCCGGCCTCGTCACCTGATGACATGGGTGTTAGGGGATCGGAAGGGGGCTCAGTGGGATAGTATGCTCTAACCAAGTCAACTCCTTGATAAAACCTATACATGTGACCTAGTTTGATATCTTTCCTCTTTCTCGCAAGAGCCTCCACCGCGTCATCGTTCGGGATGAGCAATTCCCTCCTTCTCTCGGAAAATATCTTGTCATCGTCAGCTGGAATAAAGCCGGCCCCATCACCGGGTAGAAGCCTCTCAACCGGAACATCGTATTCCACTAAAACTCCAAGAGCGTTAAGATGCTCGGGCGTGACCTCGGTAGCTTTCTTGATCCTGCCAAAGAAGGAGTAAAAGGAGCGTTCCTGGGGTGGAGCAGTAAAACTTGAATTCGAGGTTTGTGGGGAAGAATAGCGGGGAAACGTTTTCGGACCAGAAAACGGCACGGGCGGCTTTATCGTCTGACCACTGTGTAGGGACCCGTCCAGGCCCCGGATCGGTGTTGATGCAACGGTCGCCCAGTTGCAGAACATCGTGGCAGGGGCAATTGGGGGGATCGAAAGCAGGATAGCTAAGAGAATAGACCGAATTGATGATGGGGATGGGGGGGGATTGTTGTTTTCGTGAGGGAGGGGGCCAGAATTGGAGAAAGGAGGGTTTAACGGGGAGGGTGGTTGAAGGGGGGCTGCCGTTGTCAAGGGAGCCACGTTAGACCCTCTTGTTTCGTTGCCGAAATCTGCACTAAAAATGCCTGAGGCTTGCGGGGGTATCGCGCGCTACCGTATGACAACACAGGGGTCGCTATCGGACCTGTCGAATACCAAGACGAGCGGATATTTCGGCACTAACCACTGCGCAAACACAGGTATTACTGTACAGTACCAGTATTTTTTTGCCATAATATTTGCAGAGTCCGTGATGGGGAAGATGGCTGTATTTCGGAGAATTATCTTCTGGTAACTTTAAGTGTAAATCCACTTTCAGTAGAAGGAGCACGTCTCCCAGCTTTTACCGCAGATTCCGCACTCCCATGCGCGCTAACGGCGTTTATTTCCCTCCTTCGCGATTGCCTTCCGCACTGATCATAACATGCGGGAAAAGCCTGAATCTGCATATTAACTTACTGTAGAGCTTGCCTAAGGCACTCACGAGCAACTCTACCTTGCCCACCCGTCCGGCCTTAGTGTTAGCGTAGATGCAGTACCAATACTCGTATAGTGCTCGCTCTCGGGTAGGGTTCAAGAAAAACCGGAAGAAAAAAAGAGTGAACAATACGATACCCTACGGGGCGGTGAGCAGATAGTCAGTATATGAGCAGAAAACTATAGGCTCCAAATTAGCCCGCAAGCAATTCGTACTGGATGCCAAGCAAACTGTTCACCCGCAGGATCTCCCAGGTCAGGCCAAACCTGAGAAATTAACCTCGGTACAAATCGGCTTTATAGAAAATACTTGAAGCTCCCGGGGGCCTTTCAGGATCTCAAGTTCGCATTCTAGAGGAGAACCGACTCTGATGCGACTGGTCCGGGTTTCTAACTTCTACCGCCTAGTGCCTCTCCACAGAGTCTACTCGAGTAACTAATTACCGATCAACAAAAGCCCTACTTGTAATTTACCTTGCCACCATCGGCCTTCCAATTTTTTTCCCCAACAATCGGGTGTTCGAGCACAGTATCATACCGATAACATGGATTCCTCTCGTAGACCCCCTCCCGAGCCAGTCGGTAGTTTGCTTCTAAAAGCAGCCTTTAAACCCCCCGTCGATCACCGGCACTTTGCTCCAATCTACCGGTGTTCGGCGCTCGGGGGTGGAAGCCAGCCTGCTCAATTGCAACCGAGCAGGGCAACAATCGGCATGTTTTCCCCTCACGATGCTCTTTCAACACTGCTCGCCCCATAAAGCTGCGCGTGTTGGAATACGGGTATACTTGTACGAGTATGGCACTGTGCGGTACCTGTACTGTACCCGAGTACAGCACTGTACAGTACCCCCACGGTCACCAGCAAAAAGCCTGCGATGAAGCGGACTGCTTACCCCACGCTATCGTACGGTATCGCCAGCTGGCAGCCGACAAGATGCGATCCCGTACGATAACACCCTGAACAGGCCAGACGGAAAATGGCGAGCAACAAACCATAAATAGAAAAGTAGGCATGAAAATTTGAGCGAAATGAACAGGTGGAAAAAATGTGTAGGAGAGATCCTGAGTGGAGAGGGGAGTGGCCTGTGTCCCCTTCCATTGCTGTTCCTCGGATGCTCCCGAGAGGAGCTCCATGATTTGTTGTAGTTTTAATTCGCAGAAGTACTGTACGCGTGCGGTACTTTGCATCATCAGCTTCTCCTTCTCCCGCCCTATTCCAGTCCACCCACCGAACCGACCAGCCGGAGAGCGGACGACATAAAAATCGCAACCAAGCGGGTAAGCTTTTCATCCTCCAATCAAAACCCGTACAAAATAAACAAACCGGAGGTTTTTATTCTTGGGCGATAAAAAAAAAGGAAAGAAAAAAACCTCTCCTGCGATCAGTTACGGTACATTTTCCTACATCCAGTCGCGCCCTGCCTACCTTTGATACAAGTTCGATACGATCAGCGATCAGCACCGACATCGCCGACACGAGAACATGCACAGAGCGTTACAGACGTGTTTGCGAAAAAGTATGCCTATCCGCTGGATGACCATCGAGCGGGCGGTATGCGCTGCGGAAATGTTTCCCCTACTTTACCTGCAGAGTTCATGCGGAGAATTGTACAGTACTGTACATGTTTCCCGGGTTCCACTGATTGATTCATCGTGGGATGAATGAAAGTCTGGGATTCGGGAGCTAGATTAGTGTGCAGTCCTATGCACAGTGTACTTTGCTACACGGGTACCGTTGGAATACGGTCCTCTCGCAGCTGTGGTGATGTGTTTGTTTGCTCACTCGGTAGCCTAACTGCCGGATGATTGGGGGGAACGAGATGGCATGAACGAAACCAATTAAATTCACAGCTGGTTGGAGGGGAGTGGACTACCCGTAGGCTATCACTTGCGCGAGCCACCCTACCATCCGCACGTCATTTATCATACAAGTGCTGGGAGGGCAAGGAAACAAAGAAAGAGGAGAGGAGGGGATACGCCTCCGGTAAGCTATACGAGATAAAGAGCCCGGGGAAATCACATCAGCGATTGTGTGAAGCAGCTCCACGAGTGTACTTTGAAATAAAAACGTGGTACGGTGTTCGGACTGTGTGATACTTCATCAGTTGCTCGTCAGCAGGGTAGAGTGCCCACCATTAATCTCGCGCTGCCTAAGACTCAACACCCAAGTATGATAGTCAACTAAAATAAATGAATTAAAGGGATAAAAAAATAAGAAAAAACAAGAAATTGATTCCCTAGGACTATCAGATTTCCCGAATGACCCGGTCGTGCGCGCTCCTCCCTATCATTGCGTAGGGAGTGAGCACGAACCTCACCTTCCTGCCTCCTCCTCCTCCCCTCTTCCCAACAAAGAGATGCGGCGAAACCAGCCAGTAACCATCACACACTCTCACTCGAGAACCCTGTCAGCACGAGTGGGAATTATCCCACTCGGAACCATCCCGTTTGCCGATTCCCTCCTTTTTCTCCCCAACCACAAACTCAATTAACACCCTCAGCCCGATTCCCTCGTCTGATCACTTTCTACCTACCTGTAACGTGTGAGCGCCCACAAATGCCAGCCTCTCCTAGTCGTCGGAGAGTGGGTTTGTGGGGAAGTGCTTATTATGGCTGCTGCTCGTTGGCTTTGTGTCTCGTGAGCCAGTTGTTGCGCGCGTCGTGTCACCAGTCATCATCATTGTGTATGGTGGATGGTGGATGGATGGCAACTGGCAACGAAAGAACTCCATCCATGCACGGTACTCTTACAAGTAGCGCAAATGTAAGGCGCCTGATGATTTGAAGCTACAGACGATCATACAGTAGCTTAAGACGATGGCCACTGATAGCGGGAAACGTATGTGCAGTGTTGTGTTTTACTGGCGGGTGCGTTTGCTTTCCTCCTCCGCCGCCTCCTCCTCTCTCCTACCCGGTACCAGCAGAGCGAAGAGAAAAAAAGAGGAGGCGTTGATGAGAAGAGGACAGCGTGAGGGGAAAAAAAATATATGATATAAACCCCCCCCAATTCCTCTGCGAATTGGACTTACTCTCGTTGTTTTGGCCGTACTTGCTGTTGTCGCTCTGGTAGTTTTTCTTGTCGTTGTTGAGCTTACTAACTAAGGTCGAGCCTTAAGTTACTTTTCTGCCTTGTTGATCTCGGATCTCTATTTATCTTTTATTTATTTATTTATTTGCTTTTTTTATATTTTTCGAATTAAGGCTGTGCCTGGAGCACTTCCTTGAAAAACAAACCCTAAGCTACAAACTTTTGTAGTATAGTGGCCTAACCTACCACCCACCGGCCTATAAATTGCGGCTGCCCTATCTTTCTATCTCGATCTGTCGCCTCTCCAATTAAGCAAGCTCTATAAAGTCTGCTCTGTTCCGCCCAGTCAATCGAATCGTATAGGACCACCTCTTCATTTTTCTATATACGAAGCAATCGACCTACTACGCAATCACGCAACGAAGCTATCCTACACAACTAGCATACCAACCAAGCAAAAATGTCTATCGAGACTCAGCAACTCCACCGCGCTCTAATCACAAAAGACCGTACGCTGCCATGCGCCAGATACCGTAGCATGAATGAAATCCTCCCTACGCTATTCCTGGGCGAGTTCGTTTCCCCCTCCCCTTCCTTCTTACCCTGGTTCCCCGCCGACCATACTAACACTCTAGCAGCTGCAAGGCGATCCTTGACCCGATAACCCTCTTATCCTCTGGCGTAACGCACGTCCTCTCGCTCAGGCAGTCGCCCGTGTACATGCGCCACCATGTGAACGTAAAACACAGCCAGATATTCATTGACGACACGGAAGATACCTGGTTGCTCGACTCACTGAATACCGCCATAAGTTATATCGAGCGCGCTATGAGAAGCGGCGGAACCGTACTTGTGCACTGCCAGGAGGGGAGGAGTCGGAGTGCTAGCGTTGTCATAGCTTTCCGTGAGTTTTTCCCTTATTTTTTTCTTCTTCCCCAGTTCATCCAAGAGTGGTTGAGAGTGGTGGTGGCTAATACGGGTGGATTTGCTAGTCATGAAGCGTTTCCGTATCTCCTTTGAAGAGGCCTGGGGTTACGTACGCTGCCGACGACCAGTTGCCGGCCCTAACCCGGGGTTTGTTGAGCAGTTGAAGATCTGGGAGAGGAGGGGGTATTGGTGATTTCTGGAGTCTTTATATTTCCTTCTTTTCTGTATTGTGGTTGGGTAATGATTGAGCGAGGACACTCCTGACGGAAACCTTTCCTTTTAATTGTTTTACTTTTGTTTCCCCATTCCATATGATCATCTACGTGGAGTTTCGGTGGAGTCTTTATTTTTTTTTACCAACACTATGCATGAAGGATGGCGCATTCGTTACCACCGCGTGTTCCTTTGTCGGCCTCTCACATTTATCTTATTTTTACCTCTCGCATCTACTTGTAGTCTAATTAACTTGGGGAGAGAGAAATGAATCAATACATCATACAGTTCAAAAATCCATTCACGCAAAAAGTGCGATAAATTGACATTACCAAGCAGGGACATCTCCCCTGGGTTATTCTTTCGCCTCAAGACCAGAGTGAGCCTCAATGACGATCGTTGTGTCGCGGTTCCGGTCCATCGCTGCTAGCAGCGCGCAACCTTTCCGGAAGAGGATAGTGGGGACGGGTGGAACAGACATGCGACCAACCCCTCACCCCGCTTCAGCCTTGTGTAACGTGCTCGATACCAGCAACTCTCCCTACCGTAACAACCCACCCTTCTCACCTCTTCCCCCCACACGGATCACCTGATTCAGGAAGAACTCAGCCATCCACATTGCACTTCCGTTCGCTTTACCTGAAAAAACAAAAAAAAAAAAAAAAAGGTGCACTCATCCCAGGCAAAACATGTTCGTATTACGAACCTTTTTATTTTCGGGGCGGGTAGTCGATTCGTGTTCTTAGTACTATGTAGCTATCTGTAATTACACCGGTTCTTATCGATAATCCTTGAGCCGGCAACTCGGTGTCATGGCACGTCACTCGCCCGAACTGGTAACGGAGGGACGGGGGAGGGGGGTATAAGCACTTTAATTGAATCCCTGATTCGAGACCCGCTGGTCGAGAGAATGGAGGAGGGGGGGGACCCGTTTGAGGTATACGATAGTGCGAATTTCAATGTCGACGGGGTGTACAGGTACCTGTTGCTATATACCCACCACCTGGTAGTAATTATTTCGCGGGGCGATGGCGATGCGATGATATGCGATGTGATGCAATGGGGGAGGGGGGGGGGATGCGATGGGATGCGATGGGATAGGCTCGATTATTATTATTATTATTATTATTTGGTGGGTTGCATGGGATGGGGTTTTTTTTTTTTTTTTTTATTTCATCATCACCACGGAACGGAGCGGTGGCACTCGTACCGTACCCTACCTCGTATGATTAACAGGGACTAGGGGGTTGTTGGTCCTTCGGTGACGTTCGCACCCGGGTAGGGGTTCTTTCATACTCTTTTCGGAAAATGGCAGCTTGCCTCTCTTTCTTTCTCTCCCCTTCTCTGTGGTGTACCGTACCGGTATCGGCATCACCGTATCACGGGCAAGGCTTCAACCTAAAAAGTTTCAGTGGATCGGCTATCATGGCTCTAATCTGTTTATTTGTTCGGCCAGACTGTGCGCCCCTCACCCCGCCGCCTTCGACGGAATGCCGCCCGGGGTGCCGGTTTGGGAGCGGTCGGATCACTCAGGGTCCTGGGCACGGAATGCACCCTTTCCACGGACTGCGGTCTAGTGCTTTTTTTTTTTTTTACTCCACAGGTGCTAATCATCGCCTTGATCGTCGCGGGCAAAAAATACCTGAGCTGATAAGAGGAGGAGGAAAGAGAAGAGGAATAAACATTTTGAAAGCGATGGATCAAGGAGATGGCGTTAATCGTATACAATACACTTAGAAACTCGCAGGCGTTATGCAAGTCTTATGCAAGTATATCATCCCCCCGGTTGCAATAATCGGTGGCGTATCCACCTGTGTCATACCATCCATCCTCCCTCGCCCTCTTCTCTCGTCTACGGTAATCCTTGGATCCCTCCATAGACAAGCCATCACAGTCAAGGCGAACCCCTCCTTCACTCGTCCACTCTCATTCGAAAGCAATCGGACCATGCATCCCCTCGCACGAAGGTGGAACCCGCCAAGTCACCACAACTTACGATACCGTACGGTAGTACCAGGTACTCGAGTACGGTCCCGTACAGTACCGGTAAGTCTAGAACGAATTCTCTGTACTTCCATCCTCATGGGGCTCAAAATAACGTGCGCTAGAGGTACAAGTCTGAGCGCTGCTGCGCATGTATTGTACTGCACGGTACTGCGCTGCACTGTACCTTAGGCCCGACTCCGCAGGAGTCATACGCAGCCTTAGAGTGCTGATCTACCGGCACCCTCGATTGCATGGAGTGTCGTTTGGGGGCATTATGTCCGAAGACTCTTCAGAGCCAGAATATATCGTGTCATGCAGGGTAAATTGTTTTCTACCGTACTAGTGCTCCTGGAGCCAGAATGAATACGAGTGCGAAATTCCCACTTTCCTCAGGAAGTTTCTTTTCTGCTCTGTTCTGACTGTTATGTTGTGGTGGTTGGCGTTGTGCGATGGATCGGGGGTGGAGGGGTGGAGCTGAAACGATGGAATCGTTTCTGCGGAGTTATCGGTACTGCACCGGTACATTACCGTATGATAGAAGCACATGGGTCGCACGGCGCTGAATACAAACCGAAAAAAAAACTAAAACTAGAACTTGTGCCTCTGGTCTTGGCTATTTTGGTTCCTCGTGTAAGAGATAGATAGGCCATACCTAGGTTTTCGCAAACTTGGATCGAGCGACCGATAGCCTGCAGCTTTCCAACGACCCCCCCCCTCTCTCTCTCTCTTCTCTCTCTCCCTCGCCGTGATGGCTGGCCTCTGGCGCTGTCGCAGTGGGCCGGTTGGGCGTTTTTTGAATTTTATCTGGGCTCGGGAAGAGGCGCAGGTAGGGCGGGGGGGGGGGGGGGGCATTCCTCACGGGCCATTCCGCCCTGTTTATTTCATCGTTTTGTACGAGCAGAGTGATAAATGTAGTATGCACGAGTATTGCTTTCGCGGGTAATCACCGCCAAGGGCGGAACGACAAAAGAGGAAAAAAAATCAAATAATGGGGTATCATAGGGGAGGTTAGTTATTACTTTTTCGGGTCCATTTTGCGGGGGCGGGGGTTAGGAGAAATTCCCGGAAATCACAAAGTTCAGGGTTCTGCGGTTATGTTACCGTATGTGGTGGTTTGGTTTGTTCTGGATGCTCTCAAACCTGCTTAACGGTAGGGATGGGGGGGGGGAGTACTGTATGCATGGCGAGGGGGTGAAATACGGATCCGCTGATTAGATTATGGATGGGGCGCACTGTACGCTACCGGGGTCGTGGTTTCCGGGCAAGTGCTGATTGGTCTGGCGATGGCAATGGGCGTATGTTACGGTATCATGGCACGATAACGGGGGAAATCGTGAGATAGGTTGTGAGCGAGAGAGAAATGGATGGAAGATGGGAGAAGAGTGGGAAGGACAAGGAGGTGGAAGAATTAGAAGAGAGAGAGAAAGAGAGATTATCTTCGTTGGATTAGTTAGTTAGTGGTGTGCGACCCCGAACGTGATACCGGTACTGTACGAGTACCGTACTCGAACTGTGAGGCCCCATTACCCTGGATACCAATGAAATGCAAGCGACCATTTCCAGAGATCTGTGTGGCGTGACTATGGGATTGGGTTGGGTTGGGTGTCTGATAATTACAGTACGGTGCTCGTACAGTAACTATCCATCGCCAAGAAAATATCGTTCAACTTCAACACGCCCCAATGGATTTTCGTCCAACTCCTCCTCCCTCCCTCCTCCTCTCCTCCCCTCCTCCCTCCTCCCTCTGATAGATGGTTGAAACTACCGTGGATGATAATCCCCAACACATTGATAGAGGGGAAGAGAGATACGGTAGCAACGCCTCAAGCCTACGGGGGAGGGGAGATAACGGATTTAGAAACGGCTGAGACATGTGGTTGCGATAGGACAATGGGGATTTCCGAGACATGCCGGGTACCGTTGATTGATTTCCTTGGCAAAAAGAAAAAAAGCAGTTAATAAATAAGCGATCCTCGATGGGTTTGGTCTGGATGATGCCATGCTTGGCGGGACGACGAACAAAATTTATTACTAAGCTATCATGGGATGGGTGTCCGCTCCGGCTACCGGTACTGTACTTGCCACGGATGTTCCTCACCGTACCGGTACCGTATTTTCCCATCAAGGTACTCGAGTACAATATTGTGCCTTGCGCACGTCGCACAACCCCCCCCCCTGCTCTATACTGTACTAGTACCATGGCCGTAGTTTGTTTACTGCACGCACGGCTTCAGCTTGGGCTCTAGAAGCACTACCGATACCGTATTTTTAAAGAACGTCATTGCCGACCCGGCATAATACCGGTAATAGCGGTAAGCTAGGCCCGTGGCAACGAATGACGGAGGCAAAAGCCTTCTTCCCGAAGGTTCGCAATTTCGTGGCAGGCTTCAGGTGTCATCAACCTACTGCAGAAGTAGAAAAAGAGCATCGGGTGATGCGTTTCTATATGGTAGCTTTTACTTGTTTGGCATTTGTAGGCGCATTTTTGTGCCCCGCCTCTCCCACACTCGGTGGATGCCTGGGGAGGATATCGTGTGGAAACAGGGAACTCTGCTGGGGCAGACGTAATGAGGAGTGTTGTTGGCGTTGTTGGGCGGGGCGTTCTGCACGGTTAGCTTCGGGTAAGGGCCAGGTTATTACCGGTGGGTTTCTAGGGTTGTTTGGAGGAGCCTTTCCATTGGGTATCATACATGTGTTCTGGAAGCCGAGAGCCTTGCGTTAAAATTCTCATGAATGGTCACTCGGCTGGCGCTGAGAAACGCGTCGGGATTAGATGACGTTCCCTGGCACCTGACCATCTGAGTGATGTATTAGTGTGTTCCGACGTTGTGATGTTCAGAGGGCTCTTTGTGACCCTGGATGGGTGGTGGCGGTAACAATGGACCGAGCTGATGGTAGCCTTACCTTCAGAGAGAGTCAGTTGATACGGACCCTGATGCGGGAGACGAGTCTGGCTGGACACTATCCTTCCCGGAATTCCGAGGGCGGAAATGAGAGAGTGGTCGATGTGTTAGTTGGCCGGGTCGATAGGGTAATGTCAGCCCTTGTAGCTTGCCTATGGTAGAATGGATGGTAACTGCAGCCGTCCCGGGGTAGTGGGCCCCTGCTCTTAATTGACGACACCGGCAGTGATGGTAGAAGTAACTGACATCTTTCCTGAACAAAGTGAAAGGCATTCGTCTCGCAGGAAGAAAGGGGGTGTCGGCTCGGCTGTTCCCCCTGGATCTGAAGCTTTGAGTAGCAGCTCCATCGTGCTTCTAAACTTCGCCGAGGGCAAGAAGGACTTCAATAGAAAGGTATGGGCTCTCTCAGGGTCCTCTCTTATTGTCTCTAGCTAGTTGAACGTCACTCCTTCGGATTATTTTAATAGAGTTTGTCGAGAAACCGAGTCAAAGAGGTATGAGGAAAGTGGGGTTCTCCGTATTTTAGCCGCGTAATTCCCAGTACAGGTACCTTCACCGGCAGTGTCACAGGTGGTGGGAAGTCTTGGCATGAAAATATTGTACGACACAGCTTATGTGACACTTCACAGCCTTACTCGCACAAAATCATTGTCTTGAGCGATGGAAATACGATGCCATCATACGCCTCTCCCCATCTTCAGCTAGTGCCCTCTCGGGAGGTAGGTAGTATGGGTCGTGTTGCTAACTATTTCGGTGATAGGATATCATAGCCGTCGGGCTGTATGAGACTCCTTTGGTAAAAAGGGGCAGACCGCGTCGGGCAAACTAGGAGCCATGCTCGAGCAGTTGGTGGGGAAAAGAAACATAGCGGGGGAAGACACCCGGAAGACCTACCAAGGCTCGAGGGAGAACTTTGGCGGGGCGCACCCGCGAGCTTCCGAGCTTCCCGGAACGCTGAAGTCAGCACCCGCCCGACGACAGTGGGTCCTCATTTGTTTTGGTGCTTCGGGAGAATCTCCTGGGGATCACCGGACTAGCCCTCTAGAATTTCTTCAAGATATTCAGTTACCCCGGAGCCGCCAAGCGTCAGATAATTGCTACGAAGAACGCCCCGCCCGACCTGGGGTGATATTAAGAAATACTTCCCCAATGTGGAATCTGTTTCAGTTGGCTCGACAGCGGAAGGCGCAGAGGCATATTTGAGGATGTGGTTAGACAAGAATTCCCGAAAACCTGATGCAATGGGTAGTCACCCGGGGGAGGGGTATCACGCAATAAAAGTCATTCTGGACAAAGGTATTGGAGATGGGTGTTGGAATAGCTGCCTTCCACGATCCGGACGCATTGTATAGGTTTCTACTAATTTCCTCTAGGATCGGAGCGACCTTAGGAGAGACAGAGAACCTCAGGAGGGAAAGACCTAATGAGGTGGGGGAGGGTTATGGTGTGGGGGGTTGTGCAACCCAAAGTTGGAAAGAACCAGGGTGCAGAAAGGGAGCAGTTTACGGCAAGGGATGAAAATCCCTATGTGGATATCCCGTTTGCTGTGGATAGCAGCTAGCAAAGCTATGCCATACCCTGGTTGTAGAAATCACGGCTCCGGAAGCCGGCCGTGATAGCATCTATTCAATACGGACCCCACTGGGCTCTTGTCTCGGATTGTTCGCCCTTGATGTTTTCCTCATCAAGGGCCCACCCGGTCTGTTTCACTGTGAAAGAGTAGCTCTTTGCTAGCCCTACACTTTTCGGCAACCCCCGCTCGATGATTGCCGAAGTTTTCTTGGCCAATGAGACCTCAACTTTGGATGCATTCGGAGCCATTCGCATGCTACTTCTTCACCACCCCCGGCAACTTCAGTTCTGGAATATCTCACTCTTGCTGAGGGGCGCATACTAGAAGGGAAACTACTGGGGGCGTGGTTCCACTTGCGTTAATGTTACTGTATGTATTTGATAACCACGCATCTTTCAAGATACTCGTATTGAAACCATATGGGTGGGACCAACTTTCGTGATAATACAGTGTTGGTCTAGGGCTACTAAGAGTGGGTTTGATGGAGTAGTAAAGATATTACTCGAATGGGAGGATACCAACCCTAACAGAGCAGCTAACCGGGGCTGAATAGCAATACCATGGTGGGATTATTATCGGCGTGGGGGGGTTATAGATATGGTATTATAACAGCAAAATTTGGGGCCTTGTGTTACAGACGAGGGGTGGGGGTGGATTATCACTCCCGTCGGCCGCCGGGAAAGGGAATGACGCAAGGATGAAGAGTCTATTGGGGAGGGGTCATTTCAAGTCTGACATGGCGGATAAGACGAGCCAGGCACCACTTCTGGTATTGAATGGTGTGATTGGACACCGGTAAAGATGTTACCCAAGGGCAAGATGTAGATCTAAACATAACTCGTGCAAATAAGGACGGTAACACTCCGCTCGGGCTGGAATTTTGGCCCAGGAACCAAGGGGTTACGAAGCTGTTGCGTAGCTGCAAATATATCAAATACTAACACGCAAGGCGAAGATGAAAAACTACTGCGCCTATCACCCCACCTCATGGCTGTTGACTGTTCTAGGTGGACGAACCTATTCGAGTGTGGGAAAGTCTCAACTACCGATACCCTTCAGGAGATTCGGTGAGTGACCCTACTTGCACATGCCCCCCCCCCGGGGCCACCGCTCGGTTCGCCTTGTTATGTTTACTTTTTCCTGACCTTGCAGCTTCTGATTCACCTCGGGACAATTCTTTCACTTTAGAGTTTTCTGTACCACATGTTTTTTTTACATTTCAATTTTCACTTTTTGTTTATTCCGGGATTCCCCGCTATTCGCATGTCTACGCCGCTCTCATGATGGCTTGGAGGTTCGGTCAGAATGTTACAGGGGACGACCCGGTGCGAACCACGGAGAATACAGTGAGCACAGGGTACCATTCTCCTCGGGTGCTAGAAGGTGAGTAAGGCTTGATCCCTAGACAAATGCACAGGCTCAAAGCTATCAATCATAGTGGATCTTGCGCTCTAGAGGGGGGAGCGAAGCATGTGCCAAACCATGTTTGTCTGGTGTTACCGTGTTACCGAGTGATATTCTGTGCTTATTCCACTTATCTATCACAATGCATAGCAATAGTCAGTCTTATATTGACCTATTGCGCGTCTCGACCAGCCACGAGTACGTCACCATGATGGGACTTTTTAGGTCTTGATTTGGAAGATTATGGAGCTGTTTGGGACACCCTTTACCGCCGTTGCAAACAATCATCTCCAACCAAGGACAGAAACGGACCAATCGCAACGCTCGATAAGACTAATTATGTAAGAGGAATCGGGCTATGATTGGACCGTTTATCACACAGGCTTCATTACAAACAACCGTTTGTAAAGACGGTGAAGGCCGTGCCAAATACCGGCAGTCCGCAGCGCTGGTGCTTCGTCACAACCTGAGAACGCTGGTATTGATAAAAGGATGTGTGGTATGGTAGGCCTGGTCGCATAGAAGCTATGAGGGGGTAGGCACCCCACAGCGGTCCCGCATCTCCGCGCTGGGGGCCCTGATTTATGCCCTTTTATGGGAGCGTTCTGGAAATTATTTCGCTCTCCGGAGGCTATTTGTACAGTACTGGTTTTCTTCGTTCCTTTCCCTATTCCCCACCGAGCCTAGGCGAGACCCCCAGAATCCTTTTGTACGGGGTATTTTTGTTAGGATCGATGGAGATGGTGAGTTGTGGTTGATGATGGAAGGTTCGGGGAGGATGACGGCAGGTCAATGTTGTTTCTGGAAACTCATGAGAGTATGTTTGATTGTTGAGTGCATGGTAGATATTCCGAAAGGTTTGAAGAGGATTCCATAAATATGCTTCTCCGTTGTTATCACTGAAGTGCACGAAGGAACTTGGACATGTGTGGAACCATGCAGGTCGGTATAATGATCCATGCAAGGATCAGATTGCTTTGGTGATGTTTTAAATATACCGGTACATGCACGCCTGTAGTTACAGATTAGTTAGTCGTGGGGTGAGAAGGCTACGAAAAATGAAGTTCATACCTTCCTATTTTCCCCGACCACAGCGAAGTCCCATCCTATGGTACTCTTCTCGTTCTACCGCTGCGCCGTTTCCTAGCAACCTTTCCTCAGATATTCTTTTAAACCCATATTTTGGAGGGATGTTTTTTGTTTCTTTCTAACCTGGAAATTAGTATGTAGATTTACACTAACCTATGACGGTTGACCTTTTTGTGCTATTCTCGAGATATTTCTGTATTATCGACAACTAAAATACGGCATATATATTATATACCGTATATAAAAAAGACATTTTGCGGGGTTCTAAAGCCAAGACTCCCTCACCAACCATCTGCTCCGAACGGTGGAACGGAAAGTATATACTGTATTACCGCGGTTGATATAATATAGAACCCCTCCCTATTCCAGTATAACAAATCACCGAACTCACCGAGCATGCGGCACGAAACGATCTGAAGGGATATGTCGATCACAGTGGTTCATATGAGAAAGATTCAAATCACAGAATAAGTTTAGGTGCTAGGAGATGTCTCCAATCCGTTCGGAGACTTTTTCTCGGTAGCCTGAGACTCTGTCTGTGGTCATTTGGGGGTGTGGGGTGGTGGTGGGGATGGTGAGACTTTTTGTATAGTAGAGCATACGGCGCTATTATCTCTCCGAGCGTGGTACTCTACTCTGAAATGTGGTAAGTCCCGGGAGGCGACATCCGTAATCAGGCACCAGTTCTTCTATCATACTTCTGGTGGTTGCGCTCAGGTTTAGGTGATCAGGTGGGTGTGGGTGAGGGAAGGTGAGGCACCGATCATCGATTACCGGTGAGAGAAAGGTGATCTTGCGCTCAACCTGGCTGACAGCATGACTTGTTATGATTTAAATATTATTAAAAGAAAACCAAAATTTTGCTGAAGGGCGAGGTTTCCGTGGTTCTACCGCCTACCGTATTTCCCCGCATTGCTGTGCCTTATCTCTATTTTAGGTTACAAGTACAAGTACGGGTCGAGACTCCGTATGTCGTATCGTTATTTCGTTAAGGTTCCGGGTGAATGCCTCGACGTGCTACGGTATTGGACTTTCCTGATGTGGAGATGGGTGGGTAAATTGATCTCCTTGTGGCACCACTAGGCCTTGCGTGTTGAGATCACTATCGGAATCGCCGTTCTTGCTCTAGGCAACCACTTAACCCCCTCCCCCCCCCAATACCATCCTTTCTTATCTAACTATTCACTACAGTAAGCAAAATCGGACATTATGGATCGAACGCTGCTGGTGCCTCACGTGCAATAATTTCAACTCATTCGATGTACGTTGTCTCACAATTACGGCATCGTGAATACCAGTACAGGGATCGTGGATGAGACCTCTCAGATCCTGCGATGGTTACCGTCTCTTCCGACGTTGCGAGATTCTCGAGTCGCGAGAGTGGCACAGTAGCTTAGTGTCTTGGCAGCCAGGACTAGTTAGTCAACAGCAAATTTGTTTCACCTTCTCTTCACCCACACACCAACATCGCACATCCACATCACACACAAACAACACCGACAACACAACACAGCACATCACATTTGTTCTTGCTCGGTGGACATGAAGTTAGTGAAGCAGAAGAAGAAGAAGAAGAAAGAAAAAAAGAAAAAAGAGAAGTAAGTTCAAACAAACCATCTAAATACACTAGCAGGTTATTGAAATTTAATCTAGCTGTGCCTGATCTTGACCATCATGTTCAACTACAGGCCCAATACTATCATGCTCCTCACTGTCTGTGGACTCGCCAGTCCTGTCACCATCCTCCTCCAAATCACTGTGGTCAGTTACATCCAATCCTTCGCGAACAAACTCTGCTAACTTGTTATCTAACAAGGCAATCTTGTCCACGATTGGACAAATTTTAACTTTGACTTCCTCCACCTTCTGGTGCAAGACTTCTAAACTAAGTCTGATGCGGGATCGATGGTTCTGTTCTTTCTCAGCTATTTTTCACTCGAGTTCCTGCAATTGGTCCAGTAGGTTTTCTCTTCGTTTAAGATGTCTTGCACGGTTTTGTTGAATCTTTTTGTATTCATCACTAACAATATCTCGTCTCCAACGCCGCAGATCTTCAACTGTTGCAAATGCTTGTCCGTGGGTCGGAATCTTCTTGCGTGCACATGGCTGTTCGCAGGCCTTTCGTTTTCGCTCTTCAGCTTTGTGTCGAAGTCGTGTCTCCTCCGTGAGATGAATCTTCGCATGTGCAAACTGAGCAGAGTGAATTAACTTGGTAAGTTTGGACTTATGGATTCGAATCTTGGATGGGCTGAGAGAAGGGTTACTGGCTAATTGAGATAGGTCATCGGTTAATCGCTTTAGAGACTTCGGAGTCTTGGGTGTTACAGGAATACCGGGAGATGGAGCTCGTAATGGTGGAGTTCGAGATTGTCGCTGTCGGGTTTGAAGAAGTGAACTTGAGGTGTTGATTCTGGGTTTAATGAGACGGGTTTCATGTATTTGAATAGGCTGACCTCGAGAAGTGATGGACTGTGAAGCTGAAGCACTCCGAGAGATTGGCTTTTGGGATTTCGGAATTGGTAGATCATCGTACATAAACTTCGGATCTGTATGCTTTACTGGATCATACGCAGGAACTTTTCGAAGTGCTGAATAGCGGTCAAGTGGGTTAATACCAGTTGTTGCAAACGCCGATAAAATGTTTTGTACCGTAAAAGCTTTATCTCGTGCCTGAGACAGAAACTCCCAAAAGTTGGCCTTCGATACACCATAACGTCCGTAGCGAAATTCTTTTTCCAAAAGCTGTGCATAATAGTTCTTGTAGGGCCCAAAGACTCCAACATCAAGTGGTTGAAGGAGATTGGTGCTGTGTGGAGGTAGGCAAAATGCAATGATACGATTATCAATGCAGTATTGTAGGAATCCATGTGAGACATGAGATTCGTGACCATCGAATATGATCATACGATATCGACCGTTTGCTTTCTTTGCTGATAAGCTGCCTGGGCCAAAGTGATGCTGTAGATACCCCAATCCCATCTCATTATCGGTCCATCCATTTGGTGAATGCCCACAAAGAACATCCTTTGGAAAAGGAAGTGATGGATCAAACCATCCAACTCGGAATTCCTCTGCCTTATAGATAATCATTGGACTCAGGTTTCCTCCATCAGCACATATACCTTCAATTACAGTTGCCATTTCTCGATTTCCATCTATTGTACATATAAGTAAAATATAAATATTATGATTTATTTAGTTACATACCAAAAGATCGCAGTGCTCCATTAAGCCGTAATTCTCTAACATCAACCACCACCTTTTCTGAATGAGTTGCGCCCATCAGAAATCCAATTTCGTCAAAGTTGTATAGGTTTTCTGCACACACATTATGGCGGTTTATAAGTTCTGTTAACTTAATTAATAGTATGAGTTTTAGTTTCTAAATAATAATAGAAAGAAAAAGAAACAACTTACACGATCAAAGTACATATTAAGTACAGCTGGATTGTTCGCTTGAACAGCACGACAATTCTCGATCTGCTTGCTGAATGCACTAGCTAGCTGGTCATGGCGTTTAATGAAATTGTAAACCCAGTGGTTTCCAATAATTCCTTCGGGCTCCCGTAGTCGAAACAAACCCAGTGCCATGTCCTCCACTACCCCATGTCGAGCAGGCTGAAGCCATGAACTCAACAAGCTACATCTATCCAGAATCGCTTTCTCCTCGCCTGCTGTTAACTTACATTTCTTTTCTATACCTTCTTTCTTACTCCCACGGCCCCTGATTGCATGGCACAAAGTTGAATAGGCGATGTTGCAAGCCTCAGCAATCATCTTTCGATTTGGAGTAAGCCCATCTCGCAGCTCTCTCTCAATCCAGGTTATTGCCATATATTTTTTCTCTTCAAGGCTAAAGATTTCAGGAAGCCGGAGCTGTTTTGAAAGAACTGGCATTGTGCATATAAAATGACTGGACAAGGATATGGTTGGAGACAGATTCGAAGTACTTTCATCAAATGTGCAGGTACTGCAATACTTTCTATCTATGACTACCATACTGCTTGAATCCTACGCCATTATTTATCATACTTCAGCTGTTGTCTTGAGGTCATCTGTTCTGTTATTGGTTAAGTGCGGTCTTGGGATTATGCACACTGCCACCTTTTTGTTGCCACTCTCGCAACTCGAGAATCTCGCAATGCCGGAAGAGACGGTATCGCCACTAGAGCCCTAGAAAGGCATCAAGATGTGCGCGATGCTCGGCTCGACGGTATAGGTGAATGGCTACTTCATAGGAGCAAGTTCCGGGAATGGAGTGCTGGGCAGATGGGTCCGCTCCGGATGTGTCGCTCTGGAATGGTGCTCCGGGTATGGGAAAGCGTATCTGAGGTAACGCGCGAGATTACCGAAGGGTGTCCATATCGCTAATTAGTGGAATCATCAGCTCGCTGGCCGTTGACAACCTGTGTGGTCAGGATCGCGATGATTGTGTCACGGTTGATGGTCTTTACTGTGACTTCCCCGCCCACAAGGAACAGAGCATAGCGAATATGTTAGGCACAAGCCTAAGGCAGGTCGCTGGTGCCGATGGGGTTCTCCAGTGTATCAGCCAGGCATTTAGACTAAAGACTCCAAGCGGCATTTCGGTGGCGAGGTCTAAGGCTTGGCGAACTGGTCAGATTTCTCAGGACAGCCGTCGCCTCGCCACCGCGGGGTTTCATATTCATGGACGCATTAGATGAATCCTCGGGGGCGCACCGAGTTGATCTCCTTGAGTCTTTGCAAGATATTATAAGGGGGTTGTTAAATGTCTGGGTATTCTTTACGGAGGCTTCAAGTTAAGGCTGACGTGGGGAAATATCTCCCCGGGGCTCATGTCATGCCCATCCGCCCGAGAATTGGCCAAATGAGGAGGTATCTCCAGTTGAGTTTGGGTAAGGATACGGAACCTGATGGGATGGAAAATTATCTTGGGGGGGGTGGTCATTTGCCGCAGGAGGAAAAGGCTCGACGGAATAACGCAGGGCCAGGGTGTGTGGGACGCATATGCTTCAACACTGGGGAGGACCGAGGCGCAAAGGGGGGGCAAAGCACGACCAGCAATCGAAACCCTCATGTGGATATCTTATTCGGAGCGAGCTTTGCATGCTGCGGAACTGCGCTATGCTCTGGGGGTAGAAATTGGGTCGGCAGATGTGAAAAAGGAAAACATCCCTTCGATACGAACATTGTTGGGATGCTCGATGGGGTTGGCCACCGTCGACTCTTCATCATCTACCTATGCCTGGTTCATTTCACATTGCAGGTGTATCTTTGCACCACCCCCGCTCTCTTCCATAGCCCCCGTTCGGTGATTGCCTAGGTTTGTTTGACCTACATTAATTTTCGCTGCACCCAGGACATTTCATCTACCATTCCTAATGCCCCACTAACAACTCCCTTCCTGCAATATGCATCCTGCCACTGGGGAAGGCGTGCGAAAAGGGAAACCACTCCCAGCGTGAACTCACTCGCGCTCGAGCTTCTCGGTAAATACCAAGAACATATCTCTGCCCAACTGCTCTCAATATGGAGTGATCCCTCTATGCAACTTAGGTCTCCCCTCAGGTTCACGAGACTTCACAGCGTAGCATTTTTTTACCTTGACGAAATTGCACCTGGTTTAATGCAGAGGAAACATTTCGGTATAAACACAACCGATTTTCTGGATAGGACCACAGTCGCATAGGCAGCTAAAAATGGGAGTGAAAAGGTGCTGAAGTGGCTCCTCGAGCAAGAACATGTCAACCCCAACGC